CTACTATTTTAAGGGGACAAACATGGAGTGCTTTTACCTCACTTTATGTCAAACACATTTCCAACTATTCTGCTAATGGATGTGAAACCATGACAACACCAGGGCAATCAGCACAAAGTAAGGCCATTTAAGTTTGTTGTGACGACAGGCCGTTAAGTGGCACATTTCTCAAGAACATTACATTGTGAAAAGAGGAGCAGCTGGATGAGGACTTTTGTGCCGCTGTAACACGAAGCAGGATGAAATAAAAAAAAGTCTGCCACCAAAACTAAATCATCTTTTTGACAGCAAATCGATATGTGTGAAAATGAACAACTAAATCTGATGCCTGGAGCTGTTATATACTGGGTTTGTACAGAAAAAAAAAACAACAAATCCTGCTTCATCCAGATTGAACAGTTTTCATGAACCTGTGTTCCTGGGCCGGATTCTCTAGACATGCACTGTCAAAGCTGGATCATTAATATACACAAGTTTATAATCAATATTCAATCAAACATGATATCAGTAAAATCTGACATCTGAGGTTGAACTCTAGAGAAATGAGTGTGTGCGTGGATTCTGTGGTTACAGGTTCTAAAAAATAAAAAAAACAGTATGCCTGCAGGGTGTTTCAAGAATCACAAAATGTTCTTGCAAGACTTCACAGAGGCTTCAAAGATTATTGATCAAAGTGACAGGCACAACTCTTTAACATCTGAGAGCAACATGAGCAAGAAACAGATTTGATCTGTGTCTTGACATGTTTGTCAATGCAACCTGCGACCAACAGAAGGCCAAATATGGCTTTAAATCAACAAGTGACCCTACCACTGTGATGACTAGTGTCTTTAGAAGCACTGTCGCTCCTTCACTCTGTATACTGACCAATTTGAGAATTTACACAAGAATCATAAGTCAAGACCTCTTAAATATGATAAATCTAGTTTTTAAAGACCAAGAGTTACTTGTGAATTTTGTGATAGCACATTAACATGGATGTTTTTCAGTATTTGCTACTGGCTTCATCTGCTATTAAAACTTCCTAGAAAAACAAAAGAGCTACTATTACGTCAACACTGGGATAATGTATTAAGCAGCTCTATAGGCTAGAGGTGTGAAGGCATCTATATGTGGGCAGCACTGGGGTCCAAGACACATTTCCCCATGGGACAATGAAGTGTATCATTTATGTTGTGGGGTGGTGAGGTTTGGTTTGGTGTAGGGTGGCGTGGTTTGTTGTGACATGGAGCGGTGTGGCATGGTGTGGGGTGGTGTGGTATGTGGTGGTGAGGGGTTGTGTGGTGTGGAGTGGTGTTGGGTTGTGTAGTTTGGTGTGGTGTGGTGTGGTGTGTGGTGGTCACATTGACCTTGAATATTTAAACACCTGTTGCAACTTGCAATGCTGCTTTCACTTCTTTTCACCCATCATCTGATTGACATAATATTTAGATCGAGAGATGTGTTGCCATTATGTTTGCACTGTTCAGTTTTTAAATGCTCTCCAAAGCCATGAAGAAATATTGACCTACCTAGACTTCTTACTTCTTATCCAGACTTTGATCTTCAACATTTTACTTCTTTCTACCAAGAAAAAACAAATACTGACACAGTCTGCCTTTTCAAAGTCTCCCTACAGGTGACGATACTCCACACTAGTTTATCCCGGGTCTACTGCTTTAAGTGCATTTATTCAGTCTACTCGGCATAAAACATGCCTCTCTCTGCACTGAGAACAAGCAGAAGGAAAGGTGAGATAACTCAATACTTAAGTGGTGATTGAAACTTTGAGAGTGAAAGTAAAGGAACAAAGTCAGACAGTTAAAAAGAAAAACCAGAAAGAGATGAAAAGAGAGTGAATGCATAGGATACCCTTCTCTGTCCTTCATGCTGAAAGCTACAAATTCCTCAACACAAACATCTGAGTTACCTAATACCAGCTGACACAAATGAATTTGAGCCTGTACCCTTCAGCACCTGAAATGTTGTTACTCGCTAAACTTATCCAAGATGTATTTACGATGTGACACAACTATGGGTGTAAATCATACATCACACGGTGGTAAAACACCGACCTCAACAACTACAGCAACCTTCAGGGGAAGGAGCTTTTTTAACAATCTTACCAACAAGGAAGGAAGATACAATTTACCTTTAACACTTGTTTTAATTTACTTTGTGTGAATAGTTTGTGAATGTTTTAATGAAGGAAAAAAAACAAGTTATCTGTATTTACATCATTTGGTCATCCCCAAAAGTGCTTGACTGTATCACTGTGTGCTGTACATAACATGTCCTTTGTCACTATTAAAATCTCTGTGTAAATGTTGTGTCATGTTTAATGTTATCTGTTCTTTATGGAGATAGAATTGTCTCAAAAAGATTTATACATATCGAAATGATATGTATAAATATGCATACATTTATAAATATGCAAAGACAAATATAAAAATGTGACATACAAATAAATAAACTAATTTCTATAAATAAACGTGCATTTGTAAATATATTTTCGAGATTTGAAAATAAATATGCTTGACTTTGTGTGTGGATTCTGCAATTGTGGATCGCTTTTGGGCTTTTCTCTCGATGACGTAATTTTGAGACATTCTTGCCACACACTGCGATCCACAAATAAATACCCCCTGAATTCGAACGCGAGTACATCCTCTCCTGAACAACCAGTAGATGGCAGTGTTGTGCAGCCACCGCTGGTTATGGTTATGGTTAGGTATTTGGCAGACGCTTTTATCCAAATTTACCGTCTGACTGCTGCAGGATCAACAACATGGAAGTGAACAGTGGACTAACTGGATGGGTAAGTAATAACTAGTGATAACTGTTTCTTGTGGGTCGTAGTGCCATTTTTTAATCTACTAGACAGTATACATGAGTCCACTTAGTCAGTGTACAGACAGATGTCACTGTCAGATGTTGCCGATGTTTACATGACGTCTGCGAACGTTAGCCAGCTAGCAGCTAGTTTTAAGTCTTTTTGAGACTATCGCTATAGTTCTGTCTATTCTTTCATTTTGCATTTAAATGACTGTGAATCTTGTAAACCTATTTTTATGCATTTTGAAATCTCTTCTTTTTTTTTGGTCCCTAAGGTCATGTAGGGACACCTGAAATGGAAGATTTGTGCACGTCACATGAGCGAAACTGATGTTACTGTCTGTGATTTGGCCAAGGCTGAGCAATCAGTGGTCCTTTTGTGGGCTGTTTTGGCCAAATGAACAGTAACAGAACATGTTTTGTTTTTGTTATTCTCTGCTGCTGTGTAGAGTTGAAAATAAATTAGAGGAGTAACGAGCGTGATGATAAAATTGTTGCTGTTTTGCAGGGATACGGGAAGTAGGGGTGCTGAGGGTGCTGTAGCACCCACCTAAAATCAGGAACAATCAAAAGCATCAGCTTCTTAAAACATTTCAATTTACTAATACTTCTTGCAGAGTGATCAAAATCAAAGCAGGTCTGAGCTTTTCTATCGTTGGGCACACATTGAGGTGTCTTTGAGAGGTTTTCAATATAATCAAAGAAATCGAAATCAAAGACATGTGATCATCCTGTCGGACAGGGCAGCATAACTAGATGTTACCCTGGGTTTTGGAGTTTTAACTGATAATTGTTTTAATAAAAAAACCTCTGAGAGAGCTCATGCCGAGCGAGTACGAGGTAACAAGGTGGAGTGATATGATGAAGAAACTTCAATTGATCGTCCTTTCTAATGTAACACATTTTACCAGTGAACAGCAGGTAATTTACATATAATAGAGACAACCTTTGGTTTGTTTCTGAAGCATCTTATTGGTTCAAAGTTACTTGATTTTAAAAAAATCTAATAAATAAAATGCTCCAAATATACAGACACTTAATCACCGATTAGTTATTTCTAGTTATTCAATTATTTGTAGCCTTGTCTATAACAGTTCTTTGATCTCTGAGAAGTTTTTTAACCTCTTAAGTCAGCTAATAGTAAAAAGTTAATCTGCATCCCGGTCACCGGGGAAATTTAACGGTCGATTCGACGAGATGTAAGAGTAATTGACTGTTACAAACAACAACACCTTCGTAAGCCAATCACAGGAAACTAATACTATTTTACCCACGACACAAACAGCTTGCACTTCTAAACCTCCCTTTGCCCTCCACTCCTCTCTCAGTGATTAGTATCGACTCATTCTGCAAGCACTTATTCCCTCACTATAAACAAAGCAGCCTTCCTGAGATTAAGTTCAGTAATAGTCTCTTACCTAAACACTCTCCGTTCTGCCACTCCAAGCACTGGCCGTAAGGAAAAGATATGACGTAAGCGGTGGAGTCGACGCAGCGCTGAGCACTGCCGCACCACATGCACTCTGTGGCCTGGATGGTGCAGTTGGCACAGTTTGTGTGCAGCGAGCACGGCTTCTTACAGGAGGGACGGCTGCTCTGATTAGGGTTTCCTAAACATGACGGAAAGGAAAGGAAAGTTAATAGCTTTTTTTTCAAAACAGATAGCATCGTTATGGAGAATATGCACGGACATGTGTCTCTCACCAGTTGCTTTCTCACAGATGAGGCCGTGGGCTGTGGCGGTGCATGGATTGGCCCTAAGGCCGGACACCTGAGGCTCCTCAAGGTACGCACAGAAACCAGAGTCACTAGGCTCACCAGGCAGCCAGCGCAGGCTGCTGTTAGTGAAGGGCGACATGTCCTCCCAACCCCAGTATGACACATTGATTTTCCTCAGACCCACCCAGGGAGACAGCCGCTGCGGAGACACAGAAAAATAGTTACATAAGCCATTGGAATCTGAAATAAAGAATTCTGTGCTTCCTTTGCTGCTCCGTGACAGTATTTGAAATAAATGGCTCCTGTAATTACATCCAGGAACTAAGAATGCCATTAAAATTTTCCCAAAAAATAATTTCACAGGTGTGATGAGTTATTTGCCTTCAGGGAAATGATGCAAAACGGCATGTCAGGAAACAAACAAGCTAGTTTCAGACAGACTGAGTTCAAATGATATACTTGTGAAAACAAGACGCAGAAACCCATCAGTGGGCTGCACTGTGTGGCTGTGGCAGGATGAGAAGGTGAGCGTTTGCACAACATTTTCATTAAAGATGAAGAGGCTTGAATTATGATGTTGTTAACAATTTGAAAGAAATAGGATTCAAGAGTTAGACTTTATAAACTGGACAGACTATTCCACATTTTCTGATCAGACACCTTCAGTTTCAGTTTTATTTTCTAGAGTGTAAAATACAACATCAGTTTTATTTAGCAACTCTGATTTCTGTAAATTTGTTGATATCACAGACTGTATAAAAAGATGGACAACACAATAGCTCCTAAAAAGGGAAGCCAAAACATTTGGGGCTCCCCCTACTGACTGGCTGCAGAATAAGACATAAACCCTGCCTCCTCCATGTCAACAGATTGGACATGGAGACAACTTTAAAATTAAAACACATGTTGAATACATTTATCTCAAACCTGGTTTGAGGACTAACAAAAATCAGTGTGATAAAAACTGAGGAGTATTTTTTTATTAGTTAAATGATGCTATTAAAAAGGTGTATAATGCCTTGATTGATGCTCTCTTAACAAATGAAGCTCCTTCAACGCTTTGAGCACCAGATAAACAGAGTAAAGCAGAGCCATTGGGCCTCATTCACAATTATCTTCTTCAGATTATTCTTTAAATTTGTTCTTAAAAAAGTTCCTGAGAAAAACTAACCACAGATTCATGATTCGTGAGAACAGTTTGTGCATGAGGCCCAGTGATATGCTTCAAACAAACAGAAGAATCTGTTCTTCTTGGGACTGTACCCTGAGGGACCTTTGACATTTGATTGTTAAATTAAATTTATGCGTTGGTTAGCAGGAGGGGTCTGATGTCAAAACGATGCTGAAACTGGGGCAGTGACTCTAACAAGCAACTCTGGCACCAAATGACACCATCAGAGTAATATGCCACATTTCCACTTCTCGCTGGGGTGGTTTTTGTTTCAACTCTGAACAACAGGAGACGGTAGAGACGCGTCATCCATCTTTATATACAGTCAATGGTGTTTAACTACTTGGAAATAAAATTATACTTTGATTCTTTTTCTGGTTTGACATTTTCTGGCATTTTTCAGAGTCAAAAGCAAAAAAACTGAGTCACCAGCATTAATTCATTATAATTATAAAATTTAAAGCACAGCAGACTAAGTGGTAGTCAGCATCCCTAAGTGCTTTGATTGTTCCTCTAGACAGGGAGTCATCCGGTCCAGGTTTGCTTAAAAATATTAGAATCATCTGTGACAGTGATTCACAATGATCTAACAATTTAAACAAGGTGAAAAAAACAAAACAAAGTGAAGCATAATTATTACAGTCTGATTCATAAGGCGCAGTATCTCAGGCGCTGACGCCTGGCTTTGTTTTCTACTTGGAACTGCATCAAAGTCATAAACAACCCGTGGTGTTTGTGGATAGAAAGAGGGCTGCAATCAGGCAAAAAAAAAAAAACAGAGTAATACCATGAGGAAAATCAACTCATAACTCTACATCACTGACTTCCTTTTCTTTTTTCTGTCACCTGTCAATCATATCATCATAATCAATCGTATCTTGTCATTCTCTTCAAATACTGTTTCAATTCTCAATTCCCCCAAGTTAACTTCAACATTCATGTTTGTACTGTATATACCCCCTGTTTTTATTTTTATTTATCTTATCTATTCTGTTTAATGTGTATTTGAGCTTTCTTGTCTGTGCTGCTGTAACGCCCGAATTTCCCCTCTGGGGATCAATAAAGTACTATCCTATCCTATCCTATCCTATATCTCACTCAAATGTTTACACATTTCTGCAGCTTTGTTAAATTCTTTTAAAAATGTTTACCTTGTCATGTTGCTGCAGCTTCTTAAGCTCCTCAAGCACAAAGTCCACTTGTTTGGAGGTGGTGAGCGAGGCGATGTTCCCGTTGAGGTTCTTGCAGTAGTGTTGGGCATTGTCGTAACTCTCCCGGCTGGAGTTGATCCTCAGGCAGGCCTCCCCCACCTGGCTCCATCCCTCGCTGCACTGCTGGGCTGGAAGAGGATGAGAGGAGGTATGAGTATAGGTATAAAATGTGTTAGATCATTGGTTCCAAACCTGAAATCCCCTGCCCCTCTCAAGGGACGGCAAAGAATTCAAGGGGTGATCACGCCTCGTCCTTTAATTCATTTTCACCAATGTCTCACCAGCTGTCAACTTCTTCTGATTCACTTCTGTCACGTTACTCTCATTCGTTTCACCATCGTCAGAGGTCATGAAGTAGCGGTGCGATGAGTCAAATAAGCAGGGAAATTTGTTTAGTGCTCCATTATTTTCGATAATTGTATAACAGGTATCACCTCTTTTCACCCCTATGGACAAAATTTTAGTCCTTTACATTTTTTAAAAATCAGTACTACGTCAACATCTGGGGTACGGCAGGGCCATGAATGTCAATCTCTGAGGACATTATTCAAGACTCTTTGCCCCAATTGTTTAGAAAGAGCAACAGCCAAATGGGTCCATTATTCCACCGACTAATGTTGCAGCTTCAATCACAACTCAAAGTCAGGGACAGATGTTTGCAATTTAAGGGAAATTGAATCACTAAGCTTGCAATGAATAGATTTTCTGGCCACTTGGGGGATGATAAAAAAAAAAAAAAAAGTTAATTGATATGCTGAACTTGTTTACTTGGTAAACAGTTGCCTATTTACAAATTAAGCAGTTATGGAGCAACATTATTATTAATTTGGAGTCTGGCTTCTGCCTACCTGCACCATGACAGACTAAAGAGATAACCAGCGCGTCTTAAACCATTTCATTTTTTAAGATTAAGATTAAGATTTACTTTTATTGATCCCACAAGGGGAAATTCTGTTTTTACTGATTTCTGACTTTTGATGTTTGCAGCTGATCACATAGAGTTAAGTAGATTTGAAAGTTGTTTTTTACCAGACAGAGCTACCTGGTGCTAAAACATATCCCATTATTAAGCGCTTCTTCTAAAATATGATAGGTGCTCATTTAGATTAATGTGTTTGTGTGCATGCAGACTCATGTGTTTCATCATCACGTGTTTTGTATGTATATGTGTGTGTGTGTGTGTGTGTGTGTGTGTGTGTGTGTGTGTGTGTGTGTGTGTGTGTGTGTGTGTGTGTGTGTGTGTGTGTGTGTGTGTGTGTGTGTGTGTGTGTGTGTGTATCCTGCTGACGCTTCCTTTCAGGGCTGATGCACACACAGACACGCACACATGATTTGCAGCTCCAACTGCTGCTACTAGGCCTTTAGGTGACAGGACTTCATGAAATGAAAATGATGGATAAACCGACAGCACCAATTCTTCAGATTCAGCCCAAAGTCAACATTTGAGAGCGAGAGAGGGTGGAGAGAGAGAGAGAGAGAGTGGCAAAGTAAACATGCTGTCATATCTGATAAACAACATCAGGGTGACATCTTGAAAGAACATCTCTGCAAATACCAGATGGTGTCTTTAAATCACACGTCCAGTACACCATGCAAACCCTGATAGTTGAAATGAAAGAGTATGTCTTTAAATAAATCCATCAGGTTGGAAATCTAATCCTTAAGCCTAGAATAAGATAGTGTGTGTTCATGTGTGTGGAAATTTTTTTTTTTTAAGGGGATCAGATGCCTCTCTCACCAGGTAAAGCGTGACACTCTGACTGATTCTGGTCCCAGTGACAGTTGAGATTTAGCGAGCAGCTCTTGCAGTTTGCGAGCTTGCTGCACTCCTGCTCGTTCCTCACAGGGCACTCTGTGAAGTTCTTCACGTTCTACAACAAAAGAGAAAAGAGTTCAAACAGAAAGAAAGAGGATAATGCATGTATTACAGTTTCAGTCGATGAGGAGGAATTGAAAAAAATATGAAAAAGTGTTTCTGCGTGAGCAATTCAGAGCTCAACAAAAGACTAGAAGTGCTCTGTCGCCCCCTGATGGACGACTTACAGAGGTGCAGTTGCTGGAAGCAGAGATGCACTTCTTGTCATCACACCACTGGCACCCATTGGTGTTGGCTGTACAGCTGGCGCAGTCTGAGAACCGATAGCACCGCTCGTCCACTGTGACTTAAAACAGATTGTGAGAGAGTATTCGTTGTAAGAAGAAGGTCTTTTTTTTTTTTTTTTGCAGTTCTGTAAAAGAAGGAGGAACTAGAAAGATATCAAAGAGGTTTGGATGTGTGTCTAACCAGCTTTAGGGGGGCAGAAAGAGGCAGGCGCGAGGCTTTCAGTGGCCATGCTGGGTTCCCAGGGGAGACAGCGGCCACTGCTCCAGATGCAGCGGACCCCTGGGCCGGCCTGCACACAACCCTCCTCTGCCAAGAAGGCCTGGCAGCTGGGGGGTCGGTAAACAAGCACATCGTTGAGCAGCATGCCAGAGAAGCCTCCGAACACATACATGGACCTGGCAAAAAGAAACAGGAGAACAGAGTATAAAATATAAGAAAAGATCAAACTTGAACGGTGCTTCTAACACAATAGAATACCTCCGAAAAAAAAAAAAAGGAAAAAAAAAAAAAAAAGACAACTAAAAGGCAGTGACATGTTAAGTTAAGCTCCTTAACAAGATATATGTACTGATGAGTAAATGATGTGTTACTGGGTCAATATTGTGCATGCTAACACAAATGAACTGATTTTTCACAGAAAAACTAGAGTTGGTTTGTCACACTTTTGTAAATGTTTTGAGCATCAGCAACAGAGACACCTAGCTCAAAAGCCACAACGTGAATATATTTAAGATTTGACCGGGATATGTGTCTAGTGTTTGTCTGTTAGAAAGACTCACCCATTGCTGACCACAGCAGAGTGACCAAAGCGGTTGACGTCCCGGTGCAGGTCTGGCTTAGACAGCAGCGTCCACTCATCACAAGCTGAGGACAAAATGTATGTAAAGGTGACTTTCATGTGTCTCTAAACTTACATAAATGTATCTAAAAAATCTAAATGTACTTTTTTTTCCTTTTTAAAATTTTAATAAACTTGTGTCCTCAAACTTGAGAATTGAATGCTAGATTAATTTTATCAATCACGTTATCAAATTGTGGAGTGTACATTCTCAGATCTTTTAATTCTATTATCACCCACAAATCTGATCTTTCACTGATACCAAAAGAATTTAGAAAAACACTTAGCGGAACATGAATCAAAGTTTGTTTCCATCCTGTTCCCAAGTTACAGTATGTGTCAGGTTACTTTTCAAACTGTGACAATATGTCACACTCAATATGAGACCTACCGATGTCGTATGCGAGAAAGTCCGCTGAGAAACACTTGGCCCCATTGCTGAGGGAAGTGTCGTTGTGTGTGTTGCCTCCGAAGAAGAGGAGGGTACCGCTGAGGAGCACAGCCGAGTGAAGGTACCGAGGATAGCCGCTTTCTCTTAAAATGAACCTAAAACAAGTCATCCAGGGCACAAAACGTTTAACACGCAGTGTCATACACGGAGATTAAAGAAAAAAAAGAAAAAAAAGGTAAAACGTGTGTATGTGTTGATTTACCATGTCCGGGCATTAACGTCATATCGGTAGAGGTCGTCCACAAGGCCGAATTTGTTGGCGGGCAGCGCCTTGTAGCCGCCGTGTACATACACGCTTCCACTGGCGACATCGTATGTGCTGCTGTGACCGTAACCTCCCTGAGGAACAGCTCCTTTGGTTTCAGGCACTAACCACGTGTTGGACTCTGACAAGGACACAAACACATGCAGGAAACTTTTAATACAGAGGAGAGAACGTCCTTCACCTATAAAACAAGCTATTTTATCCAGACAAAGGACAGGAATCAGATGACAGCATCTTTTGTATATGGAGGAAGCTGGACTTTTCACCATTAAAATCCTGATCGCTGTGTGCTCATGAGAACTTAAAGGTTGCTATTTCTTTATTGTTACATGTTGCTGATGATTATTATGATAATTATTATTATTCTTAGCTTCTAGTATCCAAAAAATACAATTCTAAGGATACATTGATCAGATTTAAAATGTCATGCCGTGTCTTATAGCACCGACTCACTCGGGTTGTACTCCTGAACGTTGCTGACGTAGCTGTAGATGGAGGAGTAGCCGAAGATGACCAGCATAACGGCCTCGCCCTCCTCCAGCAGGACGCAGTGAGCCGAGTGACCCTCCACGGCGTAAATCTGAGCCTGAGGGCCGACCGCGGGGTTTCTCCGCTGCCACGTCCGACTCAGTATGTTGAACGCCCACAGCTCGTCCGTCACGTTCCCCCAGCCGGCCTCCAGTTTCCCTCCAAACATAAAGATATCATCCTGAGAGGAAGAGGAGAGATTTAGTGCGTTACAGCTGTGTTTAAAGTAGCATGCTGAGAAGCTGGAGTTTGCTGTAATAAAAGTGAGAGGGAAGATTTAAGGGTACCAAATGGTCCAGGTCCTGACTTTACACTTCATAGATTATAGAATATTAAAAAGAGTAACAGTGCAGACTTACAGCACCATTTTTCTAGTAGTTTTTTAGCTTTGTGTTTGAATATATGTTGCAACAGGCAGTGTTATCAGATGACTGAAAATCCTTCCTTTATCTGTGGGCAAACTTTTTGTATTTCTATTTATGTCTCCCATCCTCCTTAAACCAGTTGTGTGTTCTGTACCCACAGAGGTTTAAGCCCATCTATGTGTGTGTGTGAGAGTGTGAGAGTGTGTGTGTGTGTGTGTTTGTTTACCTGGTAGGCAGCAAGTGAGTGGCCGTATCTTGGCACAGGGCCGCTGTTGATGGGAACTGTGTTCCAGATGCCGCTCTCCAGGTTGTAGCTGCAGGGCAAAGCGATAAAACGTGAATCGGTATGAAAATGCAGAACAGAAAACACACTTTTACAACCAGCATGCTAAAACTATGAAGACTTGTCTTTGTTCATTTTTTAACCTCAAGCCATTGGTTTTTAACGCCTTAATCAGCTGATTTGGATCAAAATGTCCATTGTTTGAGTTCGATATTAACTTTGCTTTTGTTGACCGTTTTCTTTTATCTGAACATCGAATCCGTTTTCTTTTTACACTTCTTATATACATTTTTTTCCTATGTTTGTTGATGTTTTCTTGACTTCATGTTGCATGGTTACTGTGTTCTATAAATAATTACAGACACTATAGCTTAGCCCATAGCTTTCACTGCTTTGCACCCAGACGAGACAAAGCCTGTATTGATAAATGATCGCCCCCCCAACACCTAGTTTGAAACACTACAACTGTAAGGGTTTTCACCAGAGGGCCATATGCTCAGTTCTTATTGTGTAGACTCATTCAGACACAGGAAACTAAACAGACATTCAGTAAAAATAACCTTAAGCGTTAGTCCTGTGGCTCTGAGCGAGGATGTGACTCAGGCCAGAGGTCAGTTCTGCATTATATCTTCAGGGAACATGAAATACTTACAAGTCAGTTTAGCTGATTGGCTGCATTATCTTTACATTCACAAACACAGGACAGGGGATCTGGTCGTCCAAACACTGGGCTTGTATTTTCTATCCAGACATGTGGGTCTAATAGTTGTCTGATAAAAATCTTTGCTTATGTTAAAAAAAACAATAAATGTATCTGTGACCTACTTGAGAATCATCTGGAACGAGCTGTAGTTGAAGGTGTATCCGCCCACCACCCACATGACCTTCTCCTGCACCACGGCCTTATGGGAAGCTCTGGCGAGTGATGTCCCGAAGGGTTTGACGCTTGGTAGGACCCAGAAGGACTCCGTCGAGGGAACGGTTAGAGCGCAGTCTGGGCCTACCAGAGAGGATAAAGGAAGAAAATGTCAGAGGGGTTAATCATACCGAAAATACACTGACAAAAGATCTTTCACTGGCCGTTTTAAAAAACAAACAAAAATCAATGAATTCTCATCAGTTCATGTCATGCCATGCTTTTTGGATGTCAGAGGAAGGTGGGGGGGCTGACTGAGATGTATTTATGTTTCCTCTATTCAAAGGTGACCCACTTCATAATATAAAGCTGCATATTCTGACACTCTGAAAGGACCCAAATGTCCTACTTCAGTAAAACTCTAAAGAGAAAAACACACTGAAGCCTAAAGAAAAGTCTGACCACTCCTTGATCTGACACAACACTCAGACAAACGTAAAAAAAAAAAAAAAAGTGAAACTATGTTGCACGAGGGTCTTGGTGTTAAGGTGTATGACTCCACTAATGATTCTGTCAAGTTTCATCCCGTGGTTCGCTCCAGCTGTAGGCTCATAATTACACACTGTCACAGGGTCTTATAGACATGCTTCCAATCAGTGTTATGACAAAACACAAAACACAGCTGTTCACACTTGTTGGCTAACAGATTCCTCATTATTACTTCCTTCATAATGGTCACTGGAGGAGACAAGGAGGGAGTGGCAACATTTCAAAACCTGTTGTAAAAGTTTGCCAGCAGTGTTTTCAGTGTTGGGGAGTTAATGTTGAAATTTCTTCTTTCTTTTTTTTTTTTCCATCGCAATTTTACTAATCTATTTGTGGCGGGATCTAAATTAAGATCAGGATTTTATTAGCTGAAAGCAAAGCGTGTTATTCCACGCAGAATTCACCTGTTAAGGTTTGATTCATGCTCACCTTGCCAGCTCTCGTTACAGACGCACAACTTCTCGCCGGTGAGGTCGCAGTACCCGTGGTCAGGGCTGCCGCAGTTGTTCCTGCAGTATGGGATGTCACAGGCCTCCCCTTTCCAGTACTTGTCGCATTCACAGTACACTCTGCTGGCTGCCGAGTTACCAGGCGTGCACTTCCCGTGGCCGGAGCAGTTGTTGGGACATGAGTTGACCCTGGGTATAAGATGTTCTTATTAAACCACATCGTATGAGCTTTACTTTGAGGAGGACTGATGAGTATCATGTAGAATTTGGTGAAGGCAAGCAGGGTTAAAGATAGGTCAAAGATGAAACACTATAGTTAGTGTCATGGGATAAAGAAACATGTTACCGCCCCTCATCGGCTAGGTGAAATAAACGGATCTTTGTCATAAATTAAATCGGAAAAATGTATTTAAAACAGACAAGGGGCAAAGACACAACCTCAATGAAATTAGTCTTGCTGAGGAGCTCCACATTTGTTGCTGTGGATGTTAATGGATACTTACGAGTAAAATATTTCAAATCCTGTCAAGTTATAGGCAGCATCGCTAAAAAAGTGTAGTAGTGCGTAGCCTGAAGTCGTCTCAACTTCAGGAACCGTCTCATTTCCTCGTACTTCCAGCACGATGAGACCGCTGCAGAAAGAAGCGAGAAATATGTTAGAATCATTTTCTCAAAACACACACACACACACACACCTAGTTACTGTAACAAATCCATACGTCTCTGAATAAGTGGACACGTACTTGTAATTTCTTCTGACCTCAGATTTCTGTCACCACAACATTTTAAATTGCACTTGAAAACATTCATGTAATACATCATGTAGTGACACTTTGGAGATTCCTCACCTGAAAACAGCAACCAGAGGGGCAAATATCGAGTCCCCATCGTACACGTACATATGGTCCCAACTGCATTCTGTGGCAAAGTGGTTAAATCTTAGCCGAAGAACCGCATTTGGACTGCAGGAGAGAAAAACAGATATTTTAAGATACATGCATGAACGGTTGAACTGCTCACACAGGCCTCCCACAGAAATCAGTGCAGAGTTCAGACTTGCAGGCATTCTTTGTCTCTGATAACAATCACAATGCTCATTTTGTAGAAGTCAAACTGAAACTGACTCATTAAAAAAAGCATTACAGAGTGGTGTATCACTCTTCAGGCTGGCCCTAGTTGGGTCAACGTAGAAAGCAGCCCAGTTCTCAGTTTATTCACAGGGCCCTCATTGGTCAACTCCCTCCTTATCTGACTTCTCCTCTGTCCATAAACATCTCTATCCATACAACTAGATCTCAAAACTGGGTCACTTTAAAAATACAGAGGCTTAGGACAGAATGGGGAAAGACTGCTTTTAGTGTCGCTGCACCTTTAATGTGGAACAATTTTCAAAAGACCGCTAAGTTGCCTTCTTCGATATCATACTTTGTTTTAAAGGGAGAATGTGCAACTTCTCGATCCAGTCAGTGTCACCACTGAGCACCAAAACAAACTGCTGTTTTGGTGACTCCGCTGCCAAACCGAAGCCTCTGTTCTCCCTCCAGCGGCACACCTCCAACCCCTCTCCACTCGCGTCCGCATGAAGGAGTTTTCAAATATAGCTCACCATGATTAAGCTCCATCAAGCACAAGCGGCTTATAAAGTTGTCCTTTGCTCGAATTGCAATTGCCTGTGGCCCGCATTGTTGTGTCAGCACACTTTAATAGCTTGTGGCTTCACACTGCATGTAAATTGGCACGGACTGATCAAAAAATGATTAGGTAACATCCAAATAGATCGGGAACATCTCACCTTGCTTTAGTTAACAATTCAAAAGTATCCCTCACAGAGAACCTCCACTTTGGTCTGTTTCTTGCTGTTAATCTCCTTGTCTGACACCTACCCTGCAGCAGCTTTTAAAGACATTTAAAAAAACTTAATAGAAATAATTAATCGTCTTCCTGATGGTCTGCTTTTGTAGCTCTTAAAGAGACATTAGAATGAATTGAAGTCTGTCCATAGACAGATAAAAAAAAACTCATCTCAGGATGTTCTGCTCAGTTTATTTGGAAAGACACTAATCTTGGTTTGTTTCCCCATCTTTTTTTTTTTTTTTTCACAGGCAGCCCTCTCCTCTCCATCCTTGTTTCCACACAGTGTCTATGGTTGCCATGACAATTAAAAGCATGAACAGGTAGTGATTCTTCCTCTCTCTGAATGAAGACTGGTTTTGGTCAGAACACACCTCATAGACCTGAGCGTCACATTAATCTGTGTGTGCAACAACTGGGGTGCTGATCAGCTTTTTTTTTTTTTTGGATCGCTTTCATCAGTTTACACAGAGTAATTAAATTGAGTACTGTCTGCTTCAGCTTCAGCAGCACATAGTCATTTATAGAAGCACTTACTAGCCCTCGATGAGCCAGGTGCACTTTGTTTTGTACTTGTAGTTGATTGGACCATCTGTGAGGTATCCTGAGGGCTCCGTCAACCTGAAACAGAAGCATCAGAACGGCAGTAAGTTAGCAAGTGTAGAAAGGTCAAAGGAGGACAAAAATTTGCTTTTTCATCACGGAAAATGATCTTTGTCATGGATTTCTTAAGGACTGTACACACCAGCTAAGTTTTTCTATTTGAACTTCCTTTAAATCTTTGTCATATATTAGTGATTTATCACTGATCACGGTGCAAATTTTACTTTTTGGTGCATTTTTCCAGGTTTTCACTATAGCAGAAATAAGATGTCATTTCAGTTAACTGATGATTAAATATGGAGTAAAATTACAAGGTTTTCAAGGCTGGTAAAAACATTTTTTTTAACTTCAAAACCAGGAGAAATGACATCAAAATGTAAACAACTACTTTTCTGTTTTGTATTTCTACTTTGCAAGAGTTTACAGATCAAGGATGTCATTTATAAAGCATCAGAAAAGAAGAAAAGATGAACAAAGCTACAAACTCTGATAATGAGAGATTCTTTTTTTTGATGTTTAATGGCAGCACAGAAGTGTACTTTTCTTATTCTTTGATCTAATTTCCTGGTACACTGTTTTCTTCTAAACGTAGACCCAAGTGTCCCACGCAGCTTTTCACTTCCCCAGGATGAAGACAAAAAAGCCCAGGGTCAGAACAAACGCTTCAATCAGCTGATCCTCTGCCTGCTAGTCTTCATTCTTTCAAGTCACATCCTGGAAACAATTTTCAACAAGTACTCCTTCCACACACAGAATAAGACAACAAGCGTGCGCGCGTGTGCGTCCAACAATGATGGACGGACTTTCATCACTGTCCCACATCACAAGAAATGAGAGTTGTGTGTTTCCCAGCCACCAAGCCGAGCGATTACACTCAGGAATCAACTCAACATGATGAGAACAGATAACCCTAAAAAAAAACTGTCTGGATGCTCTGATTTGTATTCTGCATTTAAAAGGGGATCAGACTGCTCTTCAAAGGCAGTCATGTGGGTATCGAAGTTGGGACAAATACTTGGTAAAAGACACAAAATAAACATCTGTCAGTTGTCCTGCTACCTGCAGTAACATTCAGGCCTGACACCCCTACAGCCCTGGTGCTTTTATATCTCACTCTGAATGACTCACAGATACATACTAGGCTCTCTCATGGGTGGTCTAAGAGAAACACTGGAGTTGATTTGTTTTCTCTTTTAAGTCCTTCACATCTAAAAAGGACAGTTTGGATGCTTCAAATGGAACAGCTAGTTACAATTTGAAAGATTCTTTGTAACTTTGTTCATGACTTGCAACACAAAAGCAATTTATTAATATAGTTGCAGTACACTCGAGGTGCATGTACAAATTGATTGTAAATCATGGGTCATGTGTTGCCGCAAGCAGAACGCAGCCAGAAGTGAGTTAGCGGCCATTCAGACTGACTGTGATGCATTTTTCATGCTACTCTGTCGAACAACTAGAATCCGGTGATAAAAAGATCATAAACTGATCTTTTATCTGTGAGGCTGGTTTAGAATTTCACACTCGTCATAAGAGAAGCCACAGCTTGTTTATGGCGCGGGGAAGGAGCGTGTAATTAATCACATCTCTTTTCCAACCAGTTCAATTCTCACTTTTCAGCAAATCTGTCTCCCAAGTGATGGGAGGTTATTCCCTCCCCAACACGCCTGTTGACAGCAGATACAAAACCTCAGACACATCAGAGGCCATGGTAATTACTGCCATCAGAGCACTCCTGTACCACAGAGTGCAGCTCAGGTGTACTGAAAGGCCATTAGTCGCTCCTGTCAAGATGAAAATTATAATTAAAAGGCAGTTTGACATTTATCCTCAGCTCGCTAGGTTCACCGCCGCTTATTTTTCCAGATACTTGCTTCGTCAGGAGGATGTAATGGCGTCTACCTGTGACCATCTCTGGCATATTCTTCCAATTAGGGTACAACCGACATTCACTCGACCACCATACGAGCTGCAGCGGAAATGCAAAATCAATCAGTTGAACAGGCGTCCCCGCAGCCACTTTGGGCTACTTTCTCTGGCAAAAGCAAAAGGAACCTATTAGTCTAACAACTGCACTCAATCATTTCCTTGTCCCATTGACACCCATGCAGTTCCAAACACTTTCCTTTATTGTAGTGGAGAAACCATGAAGCGCACAAAACGAAATCATGTGGAGAGAATCAATATCAGTGATGTGATTTATACGTGCTAATATCTCCAGTGCACATAGATGGATGAAGCACAACAGCAGAAGGGGATGAGAGGGTGTCAAAAAGTCAATCAATCTTATCTAATCTCCTACCGTGATCGTCTACCTGAACAGCAGCAGGCAACTTGACGTCCTCTCCTGAGGTTCAGACTGTGACAGGCCATTTGTGACATTTATACAATAAATGACTCAACGAGGAAATAACTGCTCGATTAATCAACGATCAAATTAATTACTCTTAAGAGAGCCTGCGAATACTGGATTTTTCCGACAGCTATGGATACATATTTTTTAGAGGGGGAAATGTCCTCGACTACTGTTATTGTGGCCGGTACAGTTGAATGAGAATAGACATGTGAGATGTGGATTTTTGCAACAATTCAACTTTACAATGATACTGAGAAGCTGCTTTTTCAAAAAAAAAAAAAAAATGTAAGAACAGCTGAAGAGAGACAGTAAATGTTGGGAGGAAAGAGTGGTGGACGGTAAAGCCTCTGTTCTTTGGAAGGCCGGCATAACCACCAGGCTATGCGGCACCCCTTAACCACAAACTATATTAATACATATTTTCATCAACGACATAGCCAACCGATTCTAAAACCACCTTCTGCACAACGGTGACTTTCTCCCAATGGGCGAAATATTAGGAACACAACTCCACGTACACCACCACCCACTACGACCTCAAAATTAAATATTGAGCAGAACTATCCCCTTTCTGACTATGTCAACAAAAACTGAAAATGTAGAAGCTTCTAAAAAAAACCAAAAAAAAAACACATTCGAGGTAGAACTGTTGTATTGGATTGCATTAGATACCACAGGTGGACATGATGTTACAGCTGTGTATCTGGGATAGGTTGATATCGTCCCTGCTGTGGCATAATAAACAACAGTCGGATCAGAATATCATAAACAAAAAATATCAACTTTGAGTTTACTTTTACCGCAGCTTTGTCTTGTGCTGGTTTCTTTTTTTAACCCATTTCCATTCAATATGTGGGTCACATTATGTATCGGAGGAAGTCCTTTATTTTTTTAGAGATCAACAGGTCGTGTTTGCTGCCTACTTATTCACAACATATACCACTTGTAACTGAGAATAAACCAAAGCATGTAAAGGCATTTTCATTCATCTTTCAAATGTTGTCATTATATGCAAAGCAGCCTCACAAGAACCTTGGCGTACACAGATGCCTGCCAATGATTTCTACTGGCACTATTAAATAGGTGCTGGCTTTTACTGTTACTGTTCAAATGCAAGGAAATCTAGTTTGATAGAAATCCACTATACAGCACAACAGTGTGTACACAGACGCATAAACAGACTTAAAGAAAAGAAGCTCACTTTGACTGTAATAAACAGAGACCATGTTTGCATGGATCAGACCATTTCTAAAGTGGAAGAAGAAAAGAAATCAAAAAAAAAAAAAACAGTGTCCTTGAGAGGAGTCTGCGGTTGTTGCAAAGATTAAATAAAAAGATGCGTGTTGTAATTCCACTTACTTGAACCTCCCCTGGCAGTGCTGGCACTGGTCTCCCACCCATCCTCGGTCACAGACGCAGGATCCGTTGACACATTTTCCAGAGAGGCAATTCTTGTCGCACGGTTTGGCCGGAGAGGCGTGCGTGAACAGGACGAAGCAAAACAAAACGTAGACCACCAGATATGTGTTGAGACCCCGCATGTTGCTTTGTGCGGCCGGTCTGGGTCCGAACAGAAACAGTTTCGTCCTACATATCCCCCCAGGATCCATTTTTTTCTTTGCTCCAGGGTCGACCAAGCCGGAGTGAAACACCGGGGGCCTTTTTCGGTCTGCTTTTAGACCGAGAGAGAGAGAGAGAGAGAAAGCCTCGGCTACTCAGGCAGTTTTGTTTATAACAAAGAAGTCCTGCATATTCGAGCGCACGGCATACTTATATTAGGGCTTAGCTACGCCTGTTTACAAAAAAAGCTTTGCACGAAATGGCTAAGAAAATGCTAAATTGGCTAGGTGGGTTTTTTTTTTTTTTTTAAAGACAAAGCTGCTTGTTTTAACCGCATGCATAGATTTGTAGTGGGAGGAATTCCCCTAACCTCTTGTTGGGGAAAAAAAACAATTTAAAAAGCTATTTCAGGAGCTGACTCGTTTAATAATGTGACTAGTCAACACATTATTTATTAGCCAATGTAGCTTATGTGCAGTTTGGCCTCTGCTGGGTAATGTAACGTTACTGCATTGATTCAAGACCACTTTCTTCCAAATGCCACTTCAGCAGCCATTTTAACGCGTAAACAATCCTCCAAACTGAACCAGGGATGTATCATTGTATTTCTGCGATGGCACTTCCACAAGCTGCTACAATGTCGCTGGATCTTGCGCACGGAAGAACAAAGGGTTGGTGGTGTTTGTAGCCCCGGACCAGTGCGAGGGCTGCCGCAGTCAACATGGATGTGGCGGTGATGTGGGAACCGGAGGGCTATTCTCGCCGACTGGGGGGCATTTGGTTGATCCTACTTGGTCAATTCCCGCAGAAAATTCAAACACCCTTCAAACGTAGACTCCACTGGTGGCGGCAATGTGTGGTGGCGTCTCCTCGTATTCCAGTTGTCGGGTAAAAAAGCTCCTCTGTGACTCTCAAAACATGACAAAAATCGGGAGCGATGGATTTGATAGCGCAGCGACACTACACAGTTCCTCAGGTTGCACAAAACTAAACACAAGCTGCGCGTGCGCACTGGAAAAGGGTTCGATTTAAAGGTACAGTGTCCTAATAAAACCCATTAAACTAGAATGCGGCACTCAAACTTTGATGTGTGATGGATGTTTCCCGGCACATAACTGAATTCCCATTATAAACAACATGTTATATCGTTTTCGTGTTTTCACTTATGCACAAAATCAGAACTTACATTACATTGAAATGTTGTTGCTGTTAAGTGGTTTAAATGTTGACTTTGTTAACCCTTCTCAAAAGTAAACTAAAGAATTTTACGACTGTGGACAAGCACGCAGTTGATAGAAAATCCCTTTCCCATCTAACAATAGTTAACTTGTACTTAGTTCCTTATTCATATCTTATATGTTTCCTATTTACCAATTTTTCCTTTTTATTTATCAACAAGTTGTTCCTTATTCCCACCCTTGTAACTACATTTTCCAAAAAGCAAAAGATAAAGTAGGCCTAGTTGTTAGTTACTCATATCACTTATTTGTTCCAAAGGAATGATGCAACATTTTTAAAGCATACCAACAAGGGAACATTTTCAAGTGCATAAAAACACAGCCACATGTGTCATCCTTTAAGTGTACTCTGTCAAGTACACACTTTCAAGCGTTCAATGTCAAATACATAAAGTGCATTAGCACATATTTTTAAGTGCACACTTCCTAATGTATAGTGCAGCCTTACAAGTATAGTATACGTTTTTAAGTGGATAGTGCACACTTGCAACAAACTTACAAGTCCACACTAACAAGTGCAATAGGGCGCTTTTTCAGTTTCACACTAAAAAGTGCATATGTAGCCAATGTAAAGAAGTGTACACTTTTAAGTACAAATGTAGGCGTACATTTTCAACTGCACACTTACAAGTGCAAACTTTCAAGGGAGTGTTTTCAGTGTGGGGTTAGCTGTCAAGTGTGTTCAATCTGGGATCAGGGCTGCGTCGTACAACTCTTGGGCAACTTTTTGTCAGCTGTGGCTTGTGGCAGCTGTTGCTCACTGGTAGAATTGGTATTCTCTCAAGGTTGAGGGTTTGATCCTCCAGTGTTCCCGGATGAGACTAAACCCACAATTGCTCCTGCTGCTGTGTCAGCGGTGTGGGAGTGTGTATGAATGGGATTAGTTAATACTGATGGACACTTTACATAGCAGCCTCTTCCATCAGTGTGTGAATGAGTGAATGTGACGTGCAGTGTAAAAAGCCCTTGAAGAAGTCAGAAGACAAGAAAAGTGCTTTACAAGCCTAATTCAAGAGAAATGTGTTTCTGTTTATGTCTACCTATGTCCAGTGATTTCATTGCAGATAGAGTGCAGCATTTGAGTGATTGTTCTACAAGAATTTGGAATGCATTATGCAAAAAGTCTTTGCTGAATTACAGATCAAAACATATAGGGATATAAACTTTTGACTCAAGTTTACAATACTGGAACATGGTCAACACTTACAAGTAAAATGCACAATTCTTCACCTTTGTTTTTACAAGATGAAAATGATGTTACTCATCATGACAGAGATTCTAATCTAATCTTTCTAATCTAATTTTTAATTATGCAAAAAAAAAAAAAAAATCACTTAAACATTGTTTTTTAAACTTTTTTGGTTGATCCAAATTCAAAAACCTTAATTTGTTTAGAGCTGTCCTCAAATTTAGATTTTCACCAGCAGATGGCGATAACGCACAGCAACATCAAGGGATGGCTCCACAAATGTAAGACAGTTGGAAGTTAGAAAAACAGGAGATTCTAATTACATTAACAGTTGACTGCTTAAAGTTCAGTGAACTTATAAAATGAAGGAGGTGACCTTGCATGAAAAATGTCAAGGACCCTGACAGTGAAACAGCTAGATAGAATTCAGCCATTATTATTTTCCAAACATTTTCATTGCTGTTTGTTTAACGGTATAGCGTGTGGCATATTCCCAGCAAAGGGGTATGACAAGAGTTGCTGGTTCATCCTGTTTAAGCAAAAGGAATACAAAATTAAAATTAAAATATTGTAATGAATAGCAATGAAGTAGCAGTGTATATACAGGAAAGGATTCTTTATTAAAGTTATTGGAATAGCTCATATTATTATTTTTATTTAACACTATGTCAATAAACCTATCTAAAGTAAAGTCTTGATACAATGATTCTAAAATAACAATAAATGATTCAATCAAATAATTAAAAGACAGTTCATATATGTGACATATTAGTAATGTGTATTTTTTAGATGTCTAAATTCCAAATCTGTAACGTTATTACTTCTAATGTTATTCTCTCCTAAATTTAGCTTCAACTTATTATGCATTACATAAATCCATCTTTCTAAATACCTGTCCTCTGCAATAAAATCCCTCACAGTGTCCCCTCAAACTAAACCTACCTGACAGATGAGATTTAAACTGTCACAAAAAGTCTGCCTTCAAAATTTTCTGAGCACTCCTGATGAGTCACGCACTTACACTTTGAAGAGCCGCTGTTTATTTTCCACAGAGGTTACCATGAACCTGATCACACGTGAACTAAGAACAATATTATCGCACCATGACTTAACACTCGACTTAATCTGTGGGAGAGCCTCTCTGCGTTTAGTCAGGTGCATGCACCTCAGGGAAACAAGCACCATCTCTACAAGGTGTAGGGTGTCTGAAGCCAGCGCCCTCTGCGTTCTTGGTCTAAATGTTCTTATAACAACATAGAGGTGAAGTGGAGTCGCTGGAAACAACTTTCCTTAGAAATTCCCAGACGTAAAAGTAAGAGGAGGCACATGGTTAAGGCTAGATTAGAAAGAAATACCTCATAAATTGGTGGGGTGTCTCTTTTCAGGGTTGCATTGTGTGTCTGTATGTATGTGTGCAAACATGGGAGAGGCCCCTGAATCATAAAGGGTCCAGGGCTAATTTGGAGTTGAGTTGGTGACCATTGACCTATGATTCACAGCTGAGGAATGCTTTTTGTGCTCCAATCAGTAGCAAAAAAAAAAAAATCTGAAAATCCCCGTCTAAAGTTGCACCTTTGACCCAAAAATGTATTATTGTGAAGTTGAAGTGTCTTTTTGACCCACTTTGAAATATGTTGCACAAATATACACAAACATGTTGACCCTGAATCACAATGAATTTGATTCTTGAAGACATGAAACCAAAAGTCTGCTGCACAAAAGGAATTCCCCTGCTGGATTAACAGGACACCCAGAAAAAGGAAGAGTAGAGGAGAGAAAAGCCAGACCACCCTCGTTTTCAATTCCTGCTGAGCCATCATGCCCGACTTACATTCACACTTTCCCCATTTGCACATGGCTAAATGGTGGAGTGTTGGTGTCACCTGCTGATTCTTGACAGACCTGTTGTGAAGTGAGGTGAATGATATGATACAGCACGATACAATGGCCAACGATCACCATAATATCACACTACAGCGAATCCGAGATAATTGATAAATAACAAAACAATCATTAAATGCTACATCCTAATATGTGATGAATTGATAAACATAAGAAGACACAGTGCTAAGATAAAGTCGAAGGTTAATGTGATTATTCACTGCAATTTGGTTTCACTTTCACCTGTTATCAAGCTTCACCCATCATCTTTCTGTTTTGGCAAATTCATTTCCATTCCCGTTACTGTTATTCATTTCATCACCAAAATGAGGAGTCATGAAGTAGTCCTGCAGTGAGTCAAATTATCAGTGAACTCTGTTTTGAGTATTTATTGTTTTGAAATGAAAAGTTTATATTTGGCACCAGCAATTCGATGGTTATATCACCTGACCTGAGTCAGAATGGTGTATCTATATTTTGTCCCGCCCCAAGTGAAGCCTGCACCAAGAGTCAGAAAAAATGTTTGATCTGTTTCATTTTTTGCACGAATGAAACATGAAAAATGGCTAAAGAAGCACATTACAGACTCTGAGACACTCAAATAAATCAAGGCCAACTTACTAGCTTATTCCGCATGGACTTTCAGATAACATCAGGAAACAACCGACACTAGTGACATTACATAATAACTCTTTTTGAAAATGAAACCTTCCATTCATGGTTGCTGAATAACCACTTCAGCTACCACACACTAGTAATCAGGTTAACATTTTTGTTTTGCTCAAATTTGAAGTTACATTGCATTTTGCTCAAAATTGGAGTCAGGTCAACACAGGTCAACATTTTTTTGTTGAAAATTTGTGTCAGGTGGCTGTTTAAAAAAAAAAAACACTCAAAATTTGATTCAAGTTGTGGGTTACACATGCTTTTCTAAATTTGATCTTGTTGCATTTTGCTGAAAATTAAAGTCAGGTGGGCAATAGCCACTTTTTTTTGCTCAAAATTAGAATCAGGCCGCTGGTCAACACTTTTCAGATTTATAGGCCTAGCTATTTCTTTTAAAGGTAGCTCATGGTTATCAGTGGAGTTTAAAGCCAACACGAAAATCTTTTTTTCTCTTCTGATTCTGAATGACGTCACAGGACTGCCACAGTAATCCAGTTTTGTTTTATGATGAGCTGTGACTAGTGCAATATTAACAAAAACAGACCAAACCAATTCTAGTTTTGCTCCTTTCAAATCATAGGCCCATGACTGTCTCAGAAGCAGTATTAAAATAATCAATTAGCCTAATTATAATATACAAAGTAAGTTAAAAACGAGGAAAACTCCAGCTCTGCGGATGCCACATACAGTATTTTTACAGTCTGTGGTATAGACCAAAGCAGACGGAGGTTAGCACGTCACACCCTCTGAGCATTTTACGTTACTTTACGTGACATTCCTCTCATACCTTCCTCCGGTCACGGTTCTCCCACGGTTGTTCAGCCGGAAAATTTCACTTCATGTCGCAACAGAAAAATGCTCTGACAGCTCTGAAAGTTCACCACATTCATATCGACGTCCGAGTTTTGTCTTCTATCTCCATTTCCTGTTTATATCGACCTCTCGTGCAGATGAAACGAGTGTTTGCAGACCATTGACCCACTTTTCGGTAATTGTTTATAAAGTAAGGGATATGCTACCCCCAAACTATGCAACAACAAATCCCAAATAGCCTACAGCTTTTCTTCTGGAACTGCAGTGTTCCCTGTATTTCCACGGCTGTAGACACAATTAAGAGCGTAAACAAAGTAGAAGGAAGTGCACCATTTTCTTCTCAGTGTGTAACGTCGTGTAAGTCATTATAAATGTGAAACGTTTTCTATTTGGGATATGAGATGCGGGAACCATAAGGGGGTAACTTTATGACACCCTAAAGCAATAGCTCCACAGTTTGAAGGTGCCACCGAGCTGAAGTGCGGATGCTCCGTTCGGGGGAGGAGGAGGAGGAGGAGGAGGCGGTGCAGCAAAGCAGATTTAGAAGAGGAGGAAGAAGAGAGCGCTGTCGTTCCGTCACAAAGTCCGCAGCCAGTCGGAGTCCAGACAGTCAGTCAGTCAGTCAGTCTGTGTATTGTTGGACACCGGAGAGCCGGGCTTGCATTCCGCAGAAGTTGGCTGTCCCATCATCATCGTCACTCAGAAACTTGTCTGCAAACTTTTGTGGATTGTTTGATTTATATGAGAGGAGGAGGAGGATAAGAAGGTGAAGCTCCGGTAATGGAGAAGCACAAAGGTAAGAATAATATTTCATGTTGTGTGTGTGTGTGTTTTTTGTTTTTGTTTTTGTCGGGGGTATTGAGGCCAGCTGAGTTCTAAACTGTCTGTGTGTCATCATTCCTGACAATACCTCTGGACATTTCTCCAGCTTACAACAATATTTTTTACAAGTATTTAAAAGTATAAAAAGAACACAATCATTTGATATTTTTTTTCTTGCATTGTTTAAATCATATAAATCAGGAAATAATGTTTTGTTGTTTTTAATTCATTCAAGTCCTTTGTAATGTTGCCATATGTCAGGACATGTAAACACAATGCATTGCTCTTTTTAGTTAAAGGTTTATTGTGTGAACATGAACTTCCAATGGTTCTGCATTGCTTAATAGGCTAATTAAATTTATGTTCTGGCTGGTGTGTAGGACAACTCTATGTTAACAGATTGACAATAATATAACCTGCGTGCAGATAAGCTGATGATTGAAAGCCCTCTGGTTAGGTAATAGAGCTAAAAGAGATAGTCTCTCTTGTTAAACAATGTTGGAACTACTTTGGTTGTTTATACCTTGAAGGACAAGATTATGTTTGTTTGACTCATTTCGAAATGCCTCCCCTCGAAGTGGTCTGAATAAAATAGTTAACACTGTGGCTACTGATGGATTCCAATAGCAGCAACATTGTTCCCATAGCATTCCTCAAATTCCTGTGGTTATTTGTCCATGAGGGATGAGCAAGGCCATTTAATACTTCCTGATTGACATAAACACAGCGTTTGAGTCCAAAGTGCAGATATAGGCTACAGGTAAAGTGGTTGTCAATGACTGCACCAAACCTATTGTGTAAATGTTCTGAGGGAGAAAAAAGAAGACAACTGTGTGTGGAGTTTTGGCAGACTTTGGGTCCCCCTTATCTAAGTCACTGAACCTGATGGAGAAACTTACTGGTCTGAAAACAATTGCAACTAATCCAAAGGGATGGCCAAAATCTAGCTTTAACATTCCTGCTCTCCATCTGATCAGACAGCCTATTTACTCCCACACTCTCTCATGCTAAAATCCAGTTTGGCAACGAGCCCAATGCAGAGTGGTTCTCTGCAACTCCCGTGGAGGGGATTACGTTATCGCATGTGGTGGCTTTGGACAAGTCTTTCATTTATGTGTTTATTCATCTGTCCATCACATGAAGACAACAATACTTCAAAAAAGCTGTTGCATTAAATGATGATAAAATAATCTGCAGATTATAGTCTTTTAACACAGTAAATTAAATATTCTCCAGTTTACGTGAAAAAGGAAAGTTTACCTTGGCCTAGTGTGATGAATAACCTTGCATTATGGTTTGTTAGTTTGACCCCATAAACTTTTCATAGATATCAGTTAAAGGGCCTTAAGAATTGCTACAAGCTATTAATGGATTTTTACTGACACCTGGTTGACTAAATTATCGTCAACTGAAAAAGTAAGACGAGCTGAACTGGAAAAGCTGCAGCCCCAAAAAGCTGCATGCCTCAATCGTGTGGATTAGATTTTAACAAAATGTAGAGAGGGGATTTATTTTAATTACAGTATTTATGAGATTACACTGCTTGTCCACTAGGGGAGCTACATCGCTAGATTGATTTACTTCAAGTCAATCTGGCCAAAATCTAAAGTGAGAAAGGGAATAAAGGTACAGCTGAGGACATGTTAAGCCATTCAGGGCAACAGACTTATAACAGAGACTGAGATGGTGTGTGAGGCGGAAAAGTGTACTCTGCAGCACCAGGCAAAAGATTAAATACTAACAGCCACAAGACAACCAGTGGAGGAAGTCAAGGGGAGGGAAACATGGGAAAATCCAGGGAGGCTTATGACAAGGCAAGGCTTTGTTTAGGATTCTGGATGTGCTCTTCTCTTTTTCTAAAACCTGACTCATGCAGGTTTCATTACGTGCACTGGTCTCACTCCTCCTGCCAGGAATGGAGACCAAATTAGTTCAAGCAAAGCAAACGGTGATGTTTTCAGGGATGTGTTTGAGAATCAGTGTAGTACATTTACGCATGTTTACATTAAAACAGCAAATAAACAAAACATTCTGCAAATAATTAAGAAGTTGATACACAGAATTATGAATACGTTTGCTCAATATTTCCATGAAAGGAAATGGACATGTTTGTTGATTTTTTTTGTGGGTTCCTTGCCAGTATTTATTATCTTCCCTTCCTTGTCCGTCAGTGCCTTCCAACTCATGCCAATGCTTATTTTGCTTTCCATGTTACTATGGAGCCATCCGTTTCTGGGTAAAGCACACTGAGCTGCTGCTGCATTACAGTCTCGATGTCCATAGGGTTTGAGCCTCCAGCATCTCCCGTCTTCTCAACAAAAATCTGATTCTGTGATAGGTGGAAAAATTAAATGAGACAAATTAAGACAGACAAACAGATGTATTGATGGAACTTTTTAAATCCAAGGTCCACCCACGTTACACATAAGCAGATACAGTTTACATGTTTACAGACTATTTCAGGTGTTGAGAAATGGCAGGCGATATTGTTTTTTTTTAAATGTTTGTGTGCAAAGCATTGTGTGTACTTTTTAAAGTACTGAAACAAGTCAGCCCACACGTCATCATGCTAGTGTGTGAAGCAAGTGGAAATGTGGAATAGAAAGCTTTAGGTCTCTATAGCACATTTCCTTCTTAAAAACTGTACAGGTGTAATTTTTTTATAACTCATCTTTTCGATGATTAAGGCAACAATTTATGCATAATTAGGCTAAATAATTTGGGTGGCTTATTTGACAGGCAGAAGCGCATTTTTTGCAAGGAACTAGCTTTTGCTTAATCCTGTTACTAACCTTGAATTGTCGTCTTTGTTTGTGTTATTTTCCTCTTCTGGAATATGTTAGCTCAGAACAAGCTCAACAAGGTAGATGGGCATGATGCAACAACCAAGATATTTATTTGTCCGGCCTCAACTACACCTCTTTGCCTGCCTCTAGCCAAAAGTGTGTAGGAGTCAGCCTTTTCAATATGGTCACCACCATCGTTGGACTCCATAAGTCTTCTTCAGAATTCAGTGGGTGACGTCACTGAGACATCGCCCATGCATGGTGTGAAGTTGATGGCATAGCAGTGCTAAACGCTTGAGCCTGTTTGCTTACATGCACACATTGATAATGCGTACATGCTGATGTTAAGAAGCAAAATGTCACATTTTAATTTAATTGAGCGCCATTTTGGGTCCATTATCCAGTTCTCATAATACATTACTGCGTTTATGGTGGTCAGAATGTAACGTAAGCGTGTTAGCATGCTAGATTGTTGATTAGCGCAACACAAAGGTGTAAGAGTGAAAATCAAACATTAACATCCATTGTACAGACTAAAAATGTATTGATGTGGGTGTATCAAGTGTTAATATTGTTTTTTTCTGTCACGTTACAGCCAACCTCTCCTGGTCCCTGTGACCTGCAGAACATTTTGTTTTGACAGAGAGTCAGGAAGTTTAGTTGGTTTGACCTCCCATAAACTCAGAGGAGGCAGGCCAACATGTAGGCCATCGCTTCCAGCATGGGGTCTGTCGTTTCACGTTTGTCAGGGGCTTTGCCAACAGGAAGTGAGTGCCGTGATTGGTAATTCAGGAAGCTGGACTTGGCTATAAAAATGATGAAAAGAAAGACGCTCTTCCTGATCTGAGGCGCTTCAGAGCTCCATGTGAGTATGGCCCATTTTGGCCCTCGGGTTTTGCTCTCGTTTGTTTACATCAAACGTGGCTTTGTTTATTAGATACAGGAGCTCTGAATTAGCCTGTATTGTGTTTTGTTTGCTCACCAGGTAATCTTTTGAAGGAAGTCGTGCTTAAAGAGTAGCTTACCTTCTTGTAATCACACACATATGCAAACTCACTATAGGCCTTACTCTCCCTGCAGCCCTCCTGGCCACTTATCTGTGGGGTAATAACTAAGCAGAGAGGCTTTTATGTGGCTGTCTCTGAGGCGGCATTGCTAGTTAGTTTTTATTTGTCAGCAGCTGCTTATAGTCTGTTGCTTTCTTTCTCATCAAGTCAAGACTGAAGCCTTGTAAAGCTTCCAAAACATGGCCTGTAAATTAGGAATATGATTATCACTACACATTATTTTTAATTGAAAAATGGCTGATGGTTAATGCCCACACATAGTGGTATATACTGTACATGCATGCATATATCCCACATACTTCTGAATATGCAGGGGGTGATGTCTTTGATAGTTACTGGGGTCCTGCAGAGTGAGGGAACGTAAAGGGAGGGGGAGATTGAAGGGGATGTAGACAGGCTGCTACATTAAGAGGAGGATTTGGACCCACACTGAGCCTCTTAAGTTCATGGCCCACGGCTGACAGATTTTCTTCAAGTCTGTGTGTATAATTTGGAACCAAGTTTGAGTCACACATGCATTCCTCAAAATGTAGATAGCTAGTGTAATTGTTAGCTAGCATACATTGAGTTTTTATAGTATCATATTGCCCTGAATGTAAAGCTTAAAGATGTAAGAATATAAACTTTTGTGAAATTGTATCTTTACACCGTCATTTATTGATTTTTTTTTTAGCCACAACACAGACATAAATAGCATAGCATACCTCAAAAGGTGAGCTAACATTTGAACAGTATAGCTTCAAAGCAAAATGGCTGATGAACTTTGATGAATTTTCTGAAATTAACTGGCAAACTTTGATTCAACTGTGCTTTTTTATTTTTTATTTTTCCCATATCTTAATCTTTGCTCTGCACACATACTCTCCCACACTTAAAGAATCCATGTCATCAGTAGCCAGAATGAGAAACTTCAGCTCCAGACAAAGTACACCAGGGCCACGTCAAAGATGTGCTTGGATTTTTAGAGTCCATTAGCATGTTGTAGCGATAAAAACTGCCTGATTTCTCCAAGGGCCGAGCTGTAAACCTCGATATCACTGAGACAGCAGAGATCTAAAGACTGTGAAAAAAAAGAACAGAGTGTTAGGAAAAGCTAAAACGTGGGATGAATAAAGAAGAGA